GGTTGGTCTCGAACTCCTGGGCTCAAGCAATCCTACCCACTCAGCCTCCCAAAGTGCTGGGATTACAGGCATGAGCTACGGCGCCCATGCTTGAAGCATGATTTTGGAATGTCATTCTGCTCAGAAAACCTTGAGATTTCTTGTTCCACCTTGTACATACAGAATAAAGCCTATTTCAGGCTGGGGACTCAAGGATGTGACTCCACAACCTCCCCAGCTCCCCTGGGGGGGCTCCTTACTATTCCCAGCTCCCCTTAGGCACCCTTTCTCCCCCCAACCTGTCTGTGCCTGTATCCCACCCTATCTCAGCATTGCCGATTCCATTCCTGCCTGGGAGTGAGTCTGAATGGACCTCATCCTTCTGGAAGAATGGCTTCTACCCTGGTGTTTCATGGAGGGACAGACACGGTAGACATGACAATGGATAAACACACAAATAACTATGAAATCCAGCTGCCTTGTGGGTTGGAAATTAATTATTTTATTAGACAATATTTGTGAAAGCCTAAGGCTAACACTAATAGCCAACTTCAAGAGCTTATGACATGCTGGGCACTGTGTTGAACACTTGACATATATTATCGACCCGCCTGGGCAACTTGGTGAGACCTCATCTCTACAATAAATTTAAAAAAAATTAGCCAAGCATGGTAGCACGCACCTGTAGTTCCAGCTACTCAGAAGGCTGAGGCGGAAGGATGGCCGGAGCCCAGCAGGTCAAGGCTGCAGTGGGCTGGAGCGGCCACTGCACTCCAGTCTGAGCGACAGAGTGAGACTCCAAATAAAAAAAATAAAAAAAAAAGACATATATTATCATTTAATCCTCTTTACAACCTTATGAAGTCACTACAGTCACTACCCCCATTGTACAAACAAGGAAGCTGAGGCACTCTAGGGGTCCAGAGTCACACAGCTTTTTGGGTGTTTTTTTTTTTTTTAGTTGGGGTCTCACTCTGTTGCTCAGGCTTGAGTACAGTGGCATGATCACAGCCCATGGCCCCTTGACCTCCTGGGTTCAAGTGATCCTTCCGCCTCAGCCTCCCGAGTAGCTGGGACATGGGCATATGTCACCACGCCTGGATAATTTTGTTTATTTTTAGTAGAGACAAGGTCTCGCTAAGTTGCCCAGGCAGAGCTGGAACTCCCAGGCTCAAGCAATCCTCTTGCCTTGGTCTCCCAAAATACTGAGATTACAGGTATGAGCCACTGTGCTAGGCCAAGAGTCACACAGCTTTTTTGGGGGGGGGGCCGGAGTCTCACTCCATCGCCCAGGCTGGAGTGCAGTAGTATGCTCACGGCCACCTCAGCATTGACCTGCTGGGCTCTGGCGATCCTTCTGCCTCAGTCTTCCAAGTAGCCAAAACTACAGGCGTGCACTACCACACCGGCTAATTTTTTGATTTATTGTAGAGATGAGGTCTCGCCAAGTTGCCCAGGCTGTTTTTGAACCCATGGGCTCAAGCAATCCTCTCACCTCGGCCTCACTAAAGTGTGGGATTACAGGCTTGAGCCAACACGCCCAACGCTGCAGCTTTTAAGGATAGGAGCTGGGATCTAGACCTAGGCTGCCTGTCTCAGAGACTGTTCTTTTGATCACCATACCTGCACAAATGTCCCAAGACCACCTAGTGGGGACATAAAAGTGATGTCAAGGTAATACCAACATCTGAGAAACATCATAGCAATGACAATGTTAAAATGTCTGAGAAATAGATTGTGTATAATCCTGTACTTACTCATCCAAATATTTATCAACCTACTACATCCCTGCCAGGCACTATTTTAACCCACAGATGTAGAGCAATGGAAAAACACCCCCAAACTCCTTACCTTGTGTAGCTGGGGTGGCAGGGGGCGGAGGAGGGCATGTAGCGCACTAAACAAAAAAATATATATCAGAGGGGACAGTTGCCATGGGGAAAATAAAGCTGGGTCAGGAAAAAGGGATTGTTCAATGAGCTGGGTAGGGATATATTGGTGGCATTGCTACTTTGTATAGGATGAGGAAGGCTCAGGTCAGGTGCAGTGGCTCATGCAGGTAATCACAGCACTTTGAGAGGCAGAGGCAAGAGGACTGCCTAAGCCCAGGTGTTCGAGACTAACCTGGGCAACTTGGCAAGACCTCGTCTCTACAATAAATCAAAAAAAGCCGGGCTCAATGGCTCAGCCTGTAATCCCGCGCCTTTGGAAGGCTGAGGTGAGTGGATTGCCTGAGCCCGCGGGTTCGAGACCCACCTGGGCAGCGAGACCTCATCTCTACAATAAATAAAAAAATCAGCCGGGCGTGGTAGCGCATGCCTGTAATTCCAGCTACTTAGAAGGCTGAGGCGGAAGGATCGCCAGAGCCCAGCAGGTCAAGGCTGCGGTCACCGGGAGTGGCCACTGCACTGCAGTCTGGGTGACAGAGTGAGACTCCAACTCAAAAAAATAAAAAATAATCAAAAATAAATCAAAAAAATTAGCCAGGCGTGGTGGTGTGTGCCTGTATAGTTCCAGCTACTTGGAAGGCTGAGGCAGAAAGATCACCTAAGCCTGGCAGGTCAAGGCTGTGGTGACCAAGAGCATGCCACTGCATTCTAGCCTGGGCGACAGAGAGAGACTCCAACTCAAAAAAAAAAGATCAGTATAAAACTCGATGAGGTGATGTCTGAGCAGAGCAGTAAAGTAAGGGAGTGAGTAATCGTAGATATTTCAAGCAGATAGTGAAGTGATCTGTAAATATTCCAAGCCGAAGACACAGCAAGTGCTAAGGCCCTGTGGTAAGAACATGCTTGGTCCAGTCAAGGAACAGCCAAGGCCAGGTGTGGTGGCTCCACTTGAAATGCCAGCACTTTGGGAGGCCAAGGCAGGGGGACTGCTTGAGGCTAAGAGTTCAAGACCAGTCTGGGCAACATGGTGAGAACTTGTCTCTACAAAAAAACAATATAAAAATTAGTTAGGTGTGGTGGCACGTGCCTATAGTCCCCGCTACTCAGGAGGCTGAGGTAAGAGGATAGCTTGATCTCAGGAGCTCAAGACTGCAGTGAGCTATGATCATGCCACTGCACTCCAACCTGGGTGATAGAACGAGACCCTACTTCAAAAAGAAAAAAAAAATAAATAGCCAAGAGGCCTGTGTGGCTGGAGCAGCATGTATGGGGAGAGAAGAAGGAACAGAAAGGATTTGCCAACATGAAAATGCCGAGGCCTACAGAAAGTCAGGTTCTGCGTAATGCCACATGTCTGGAAAATATTAATAGCTGTCATTTATTGAGTGTATCCACACGTCTGGTCCTGTACTCAGCAATGACACAAGAACTGCTACAGATAAGATCCTTAAAGTCAAACAGGAAGTCGAACTAAGAAACTTTCACAGTGCCATGTGATAGGCTCTACATGAGGGTGCTAGGAAACTACAGAAGAGCAGCATCTAACCCTGACTAGGGGCAAGGAGGCTTCCTGGAAGAGGTGGCATTTGAGCTGTCAAATGAGAAAAGGACAATACCTCCAGAATGCAGATGCAGAGAGGAAGGGCAGCCCAGAACCTGGGACGGCTGGGCAGAGCTGCTGCAGCAGTGCTGGGAGCTGGGAACAGATTCCTGGAGGAAAGGCTCGGGTCTGCAGGGGTTGAGAGAACCCCTGGAGGTCCAGGCTTAAGTGTGTGTGTGTGGGAAAATGGTAGGGCATGGAGTAGGGGACAAAGGGTGAGAAGGGACAAGATAAAGACTTGATAACTTACTTGCCTACCCAGGACTGTCTTTCTCCCTTGTCTTTAGGTGGTTCTAGCTGGGAGACGACAGGGAAGCTGAAGGTAAATGGCCACCTCCACTGGCCCCAGGTCTTGGTTTCTCATCTCATCCTAAGAGGTCTGGCTCCTTCTTTTAGGCAGATCTCTGAGTCCTCACTCCAGAGGAGCCTCAGACAGTCTGGCAGGAGATTCTTCAGCCAGTAACAATTCCCATACTGGAAGAGCTTGGTGGTATTCAAAGTGCTTTTACTGCCTTTGTGTCTTACAGTCGTAACCTGCATGTCTTAGGGTCAATCCAGGATGCACAGAGCTCTGCTCCTATACTCCTTTTCATCATAGATTCTGCAGCTCAGAGAGGTTAAGGGCCTTGCCAAGGTCACACAGCCCCAGGGTGACTAAACTGGGACTTGAGCCCAGCTCTTAGGATGGCAAACGCCACAGTGACACTGCAGCAGCTACAGAAAACAGGGCCCTGCTTCCTGTTGATTTCCAGTGGGGAAGGGGATGGATGGGGCGCCGGAGTGGGGGGAAGATGGAGATGGGGTGATGGAGGTTCAGAGTGGAGGCAGGAAGAGAGCAGAGCAGGAGACTGGAGAGGCTTTGAGACAGAACTAGAGGTGTCTCCAGAAAGACCGAGGTCATTATCCCAGCAGGGTTGGAAAAAAACAAAAACAAAAACACAGGGCTACATCCTCCTCACAATAGGCAGAGAGCAGCCTATTGTTCCCATTTCACAGGTGAGAAAAGGGAGGCAAGGAGCCAGGGCCCCATGGCTTGCCCAAGGCCCATAGAACTCAGGGCTCAGGGGCCCTGTTAGAAGCGGGCAGAGCAGGCAAGACGTCCGGGACTTTCCCACTCTACCACGGATGATGAAATAGAGATGAGGGGAGTTGGAGGTGCAGGCAGAAATCAAGCCTCATCCAAAGAGGGAGGGGGGAATGGCAGAGGCTGGAGCCGGCAGCGGCGGAGGTGGTGGAGGGACGG